TCAATATATCGTACAAGAAATGTTATCCATTTTCATTACAATAGATGTTTCATACAATAAAAATGGAAATTTAGTATTTTGAATGCTGTTGACCACACGGTTCGACCGGACATAATACATTCAAAATAATATTTTTACATTTTATTCGACCTACACTCATATTTTTTAACACGTTAGGATCTTTTCCTATTTGTTGAAAAAAGTTAAGGATATCTTTTGCTGTTTGATGCGAAATATTCTAATCAACAATGCGATATCGAATTTCTGCTGATTTTTTCCGCTCTTCAAACGGCAAAAGTGAGTCATCCATCATGTTTATATTTTCATCCATGTTCATTGTTTCTGTCTTCTTTTCTTTACATATTTTTATATGTGCTTCAGATTCTGCGTGACGATAAACGTGAGATAAATCACCAATCACAGATTTATTACAAAATGAGCAAAAAAATGTATTAATGCTATCTGAAATTTCACTTAACCATGGCTGAAATAATTCGATCTCTAGCCATTATGCTTTAAATTTATATTTTGGTGATATATTTTTACGTGAACTTATATCAATATTATCTAATAAAGTAATAAATTTTCTTTAATATTATTTTTGTGACACGCAGAATTCGCGTGTCTTAAAACATGTGTATTGCACGAAATATTTTTATTACATATGATGCAATGATAAAAACCATCATCAGAAGATACTTTACGTATCCAAGATTTAATTCTATCATCACTAAGTCAAACTTCTGAAAAGCTTCGCTTAAATTTTTTTCTTAATTCATCACACATTTTTATAATAAAAAGTAGATAGAAACTTCTGGAGTACCCTTCTGGAGTCGTGGGGATTCGAAAGAATACATGTATATATGTATATTGTAATATACGTATATATATGTATCATTGTATTGTTGATGTGTTATTCTAAATACGTTATTTGCGATAAATATCATCACATGCCTCGGTAGTCGAAGGGATAAGATGCCTACCCGATAAGCAGGAGATCCAGGTTCGATTCCTGGCTGATATTTTTTCGCAAAATAATTACGAGTTTTCACGACTGATTCCGTGGTCGGGCCCCGCCGTGATGCACATCTTCCCTTCTTATTTGGGTAAGTAGAAGAATGAATAAAAGGAAAGATAAATAATAAAAAAATAATATAGAAATATAGAATTAAATATAGATATTTAAAATAATCAAGACTTATAATCACAATTGCTTCAGCTTTTTGGGTACCAAGATTTTACAAGACACATATAAGAAAATACGTTGATTCGCAAAGAGCAACAAGATTATCTTACAGAAACGCCATGAAACAGTAACAGTACAACGTATAAAATAAATGCGCGGCGTACGAAACAAATGCACGGCGTACAAAATAAATAAAATAATGCCGAGTGCTTCAGTTCTCTGTGAAACATTGCCGTGACACAACGTACAATCATCATCCCGTAAGTAAATCAAATTATTATTATTTGTATTTCTTAAGAAAATTTAATATGTAAGAATTAGACGACCGTAAGCGGTCATGAAAGAGATTCGGAATATAAACAGCTAACAAAGAGGAGCCGTCGTGGTCGTGCAGACTAAGTGTCGGATTGGTAGACGAGGGATCCCGAGTTCAAATCCAGTCGGTCTCCGTTAATTTTTTCCGAATCTAATAGATATCTTTC